CTTAAGGATGAGGCATCCTTCTGATACTAAGGAAATGGTCTCTACATAAAAGACAGAGTCTGTTCCCCAACTCAAAGCTTTAAATTCGGACTTTCAGTGAGTTAATCAGGCTCTCCAAAGAGGCAGAGACCTTCCCTTCCTTTCAGAGTGTAAGAGAAATGCCCCTTTGCAGGACCCCTCTTGGGAAGCTCGCTCCTGCAAAGCCCAGGGGAAGAGAAGCACCTGGGGGCCAGATGGGACTCAGGATGGCGCAGCTGTAGAAGACTGTGAGTTCCAGAAGTCCTCCTTCTTGTCTTTCTGTCATAATTGGCGTTGTGACCCAAATACATGGGAACCTCCACATTCAATGAACAGACTCGATTTAGATTATGCAGTTCCGCGGGAAGAAGGGACACCCTCTCCTTAGCTGGTTGTGCTGCACTCTTGAGATAACTCTTAGATTCATTTTAACCTTTGGTTTTAAGGAGATGCTGATGGGTCACATTTAAAACTGTGGATCCCCTAAACGCCTTTCTAGCGGGTCTTTTTCCTTCCAGAATGTCTAGCCTTAGGGGCTCAGCCCCGGGGCCCACAACGCTTGGCGGGAAGCCTGCACTCTCTGGGAGTGAGGTCCCCGCTCGCCAGCTCCCACCCTCCGGAGTGGCGGGTTCCTGGAGTTGGACGATCTGCTCTTGTCCTCGCCTTTCTCCAGGCAACGCGCAAATCTCTCCCTAATTAGGCTCAAGTCGAAAGGATCGGCAACTGTTCATCCCAGAGAACACCCTGCAGAAAACTCGGCTTGTGCGCGGGCCCAGGCTGAGTCGCCAGCGGCAACAACTTGACAGATTCTTTAATTTGTTAGTTTCTGAGCAGAACAAAAAAAAAGCCCCAAAGACGCGGGGCAAACGGCCCTCAATAAAGCCCACTGTCGCGCAACGTCGGGTTCCCCGGACCACGCTTGTGGCCGTTCCACTTCTTTCTCACCGCGCACCCCAAGAACACGGTGCAAATGAACCCTACGGCGGGAAGCC